CGAGGGGCCCCCCCGGGGGCCGAGCGGCGGGTCCCGCCCCCTGCCCTGGCCGCAAGCGGGGCTGTCCCGCACCCAGGATCTGGCCGGGCACCTTGTGGCGGTGCTTGCTTTCGCACCCCAGCCGGAGCGCTGGGAGTCCGGCGGTGCTGGGGATCCCTGCGAAGAGGGGGTGCCCGGGCTCTGCTGAGCCTCACGCTGCCTCTGAGCAGCGCCTGAAGGGATGGGGAGCCTTCTGGTCACCCAGTCACTGAGGACTGCGCTTAGACCTGCCGGGAGCCTCACAGGGACGCACAGGGGTACCGCTGACAGCTTCGCACAGGAGTGCTGCCAGAGACGTGTACACCATAGCCAGAGTTAGCGCACGTGTGCCTAAACAAGCCTGCACGCTCATGTAGGCAACACGTTTGGGTAGATCTCGTGCATTCCCATGCCCCAGCACAGGATGGGGATTGCAACTCCAGTGGCACCCGGAGCAAACGGACACGAAGGAAAGCGCGCTGAAGTACAGAGGGGCACAGAGAGCCACCTACAAAAGCAGAGTCTCTCTCACACGTGTACACACTCACACACACAACAGGGCAAACAACACCGCACGTGTCCGCACGTGGGATCCGGGCTGTGACTTGGAGGCAGTTGCAGCGGTCGATGCCCCAGAAGGCAGACGTGCGCAGGGGAGGCACGTGTAGACAGGGCACGCGTGAAGATGTGCAAACCCATCTTACTGCACATAAGTTAGGGAAGTTGCGGCAGTGTGATCCCATACCATGCAAAACTCTGCAAGCAGGAAGCCTTCACGTCTGTCATTGAACAGAAATCCATGCTTGAGGCTTGATCTCGGTCGTAGGTGACAAACCGGAAGGTGGCAAATTTGAGCTGTTTGGAGTTTTTCCCTTCCTTCAGAAAATGTCAGCTTTTGGGGCCAAAACTTGAAAGCTGCCAACTTTCAGCTCACACCGGTTGGCCGTATCTCCCTAATTCTGTTGCGGGAACGGCTGCTGACTGTTGTGTCCTCTCGGACACCGCTGCTGCGGCTGCGTCAGCTGGCAACCTGGAGAGGGGGCAGGGAAGGCGGGAAAGAGAGGAAACAGCCCCAAACCTGATTTCCCCTTGGCCCAGACCCTTCTGCTGACCAGGCTGGGCCATGTCCCCAGGGGCGGCACACTGGGAATGCATGCAGGTGTGTGCAGGGACTGGGCGGGGTGCACAGGAAGGGAAGAGTCCGGCCAGCTGTGTGCACAGCTGGTGGATGAGCTTGGGGGGGCGTGCAGACCTATTCTCACCGCGTGTCTCTCTCTCTCCCCCCAGCCGTCCCGTTTTATGGAGCTGCGGGCCGGGGCCAGCCCAGCTCCCCTGCTGCCTCCTGGCGATGCTGCTGGTCCCGGTGTGGAGAGACCCTCGGCAGCCCCACGGAGCCTAAGCGCCGAGGCGGCAGTGGCGGCGGCCCCCCTGTGCGCCCCGGCTGACTACTATGGCCGTGTACTGCTATGCACTCAATAGCTTGGTGATGATGAATAGCAACAGTGAGGTGACAAGTGGCGGGAGCAAGACGCCGCCTCCTCCCGGACAAGTGCTGCCCAGAGGCCCGGAGACACCCGGCAGCTGCCGCCCGCTCCCTGTCTTCAGCCCGGCCCCCGTGCCGCCCCGCTCCCCGCGCCGTGGCCCCGCTTTCCTCTTCCCGCCGCTCGCGGCGCCGCCGGCCGGCCCCCGTGCCGCCCCGCTCCCCGCGCCGTGCCCCCGCTTCCCTCCCCCCGCCGCTCGAGGAGCCCCCGCGGCAGCCGGGCAGCCCTGGGAGGCGGCGGAGCAGCCAGGGTGAAGAGGGGCAGCCAGGACCTGCCACAGCACGGCAACTTCAGCGGGAGCTGCACAACGTCCAGGTGAACCAGAAAGTGGGGCTCTTCGAGGCACACATCCAGGCACACAGCTCTGCTGCCCAGCCGCCGCGGAGCCCCCGGCCATCTCGGCCCCGGCCCACCAGCCCCACGGCGCCAATGGTGGGACTTGGAACCGGACCCCGGCCGCGAGCCTACGGGGAGAGTGAGGCCCCTGATGCTGGTGGGGTGCAGGTCTGGCCCAGCACTGCAGAGCCCTTGGGGAGGCCAGTGGTGATGGTGGTCCCAGCTATGGGGCTGGCGGAGGGCAGCAGCCCCCTGGAGCCATCAGGGCCTGCACCATGGCGAGGCGAGGTGGTGGTGGCCCCCACAGGACATGAGGGCCAGTGCCCAGCCATCGGTGGGAGCATCCCCGCCGTCATCGTCACGGACCTGGGGGGCCCGGAGGAGGAGGCGGGCGCCGTGCCCCCCGGCAGCCTGCCCGTCCGGAAGCTGTCGTCGTCCTCTGCCTCTTCCACTGGCTTCTCCTCATCCTGGGAGGAGTCCGAGGAGGACATCTCCAGCGACCCTGAGCGCACCCTGGACCAGACACCGGCCTTCCTGCAGACCCTGGACCAGCAGAAGCCCCGAGTGGTGAGTCTTGCACCAGCCACGGGGAGGTGGGGCAAGGGCTGGCAGCATCCCCGCTCCGAGGCACAGCTGCAGCGGGAGGGCAGAGGTCTGTCAGAGCAGAGGTCTGCAGAGAAACTTTCCATTTGCTCGGCGGTACTTGCTTTCCCTCACATGAAAAGCTTATCCCTGTTCCTAGTCTGAAAATCCCCTGCTCGCAGGAGAGAGCAGCAGTACCCATCCCACTGTGCACGGTCCTTGCAGAGCTTCCCCGGTGCTGCAAGCTGCCCGCCGGCGTGCTTAACCTGCACCCATGGACTGCAGCCTTCTGCTGACATGTGGTTACGAGCTTCAGCTTTCCCTCAGCAACAGCTTTCCTGGGTGCTGGAGGTTTCCCATGATTTACATGAGCCTAAGGGAGAATTTATTTCCTTCTTGGAGCCGAAACTGTGTGGGCCAGCTGTCTGTTAAAATTTGTACTGGTGCCCATCACAATAGTGTCTGTGTGCCTTTCACATGGAAGCAAAAATGTCTAAAATTTCTGGTAATTCCCCTTCTGAGTAAAACTTCTTGCTTGTGGGGTATCTTACATTTTAGGTAAGCATGTTTTTATTAGGTATTTATGTTAAGTTCATTTGTTTCTGGATCTTTGTTGTGGGCTGGTTGGGAGGCTTCAGGCGAGAGAAAGCATCAGTGTTGTATAACCCTTAGAGCAGAAAGGTCTCCTCGGAGAGGAGGGCTTTGAGGTGCTCTCCGAAGGTAGACAGTCATGGGATTTCTTGCATCACTTGGGGAGTTTGTTCCATGTCTGAATGCTCCACACGGAGCGTGCTTTGCTCTGAGCTGTCACACCATTTATCCAGAGGGCTTTGAACCACTTTACCCCAGTGCAGGGTGCCCATCGCGAGGTTCTCTGACCAGCACGTGGGCTGTCCCATCCTCCGGCTATGAGACATTACATTGATTTGAGCTCAGCACTGGAGCCACACACTGACAAACCCTGAAAAATGCAGGGCAACCCAGTGGCTCCTTCATTTTAAAGAGTTTGATAAAGGCCCCATCACCTTTCAGTGATGTGGTTCACTATGTTTAACTTTCCATAGACACATGATAGTGAAACTGTTGTTAAGCTCAATGACATGAGGAAGACCAGTGCAGGGAAACATCTAAGTAAAGTGAAGGTATCAAACTCATGAAGAACTGACAGACGGGGGTTTGTAAAACACTCAGCAGGCTGAAATAAATATCTTTGCTTTTCTACTTGTTTCATCCTGTTCCAAGAACTCGGGCTCAGTTTTACTCAGGATGGAGAAGCAGTTGAGTAAAAGCACAGTTAATGAAATTACGAGTCTGTGGCTCATCGTGTTTGCAGACAGTTTTGTATTTTGGGGCTCTCAACTGATGAATCAGCTTGCTCCCTTTGGGAGCTGCTACAATTCCTCTGCTGATTAAATTCTGCTGGTTTTGTGTGCATGAGTTGTAGTAATCTCTGCTCTATTCTCCATACTAATGACTGTTCCTAGTGCCAGATCGCACTGATTTGCTGCTGAAAACAGTTCGCTGATGGGCAAAATCATGCCTGATGCTCTTGTGGAAAGCTTCCTGGAGCCTTAAGCTGACTCTGCGCAGCCTCCTGTGGCCTCCAGCGAGCTCAGCCAGGCCGGTGGCTCGGCAGTGAACAGGCAAGGTTCATTTGTATTGCCAAAAGGCCTGGGTCAGAGTGAGCTCAGATCATGTCTAAGATCAGAGTAACTCTTCTGGCCTCAGTAAGACTACTCCAAGCTAAACGAGATGAAGATCTGGTCCAAAATGTGTTAGGCAGCCTGAGGAGGTGCACTTGATTTTGTTTCGGTGCTGGAGTCGTCTCAGCAGGAGCGGCTGGGCTCATCTACAATGATACTTTCCGCTGGACTCCGCAGGTCCCGTGCAGGGCTGATCACTGGCTTTGGCAGTTTATAGTCAACTTCTCAGCAGGACCATGCGCAAATGCCCAGTAATTCAAAGCTCATTCATACAAATAACACCCAACTTTGTGTACTGGTTGGCAACATCTTTTAAATCCATAATGACAGCAGAAGGCAGCTACCGGAGCAGTCTCAGGTTGCACACTCATTTGGTTTCATGAACTCACTATTTCCTTTTAACAACGCACATGGTCTGGAAATGAGTTGTGTAATGAGGGAGAATGTGTGAGAAGCTCTCTGCGACTCATGCTTTTCCGTCAAAATAAATCCTGGAAGACCTCGGCTGACAGAAACCAACATTGTGCCTCTGGGTTGAGTAGATAAACACTGGGCGGGCAGAGAGCCCTGCCTATCTGCACCGGGTGCTGCTGGCACAGGGGAGGGCTATTGTACCTGGAGGGGAGGTAATGGCGAGCGACAGGAAAGCAGTTCTTGCTGCAGATACGGTCTGTGCTGTACATCTCACATAGCATGTTTACAGATTTGATAAACAGCAGGCTTGCTTCTGCCCTTCCTTTCTGGAGGCCGTCTGGCTTAGCAAATCTGTTAGGGATGTCCGGCTGTCTATTGTAGTTCCTCCTGGTGTCCCCGGGAAGCGGGCAGATCCCTCCAGCTGGCACGGACTCGTCCTCCATTTGTACGTCAGGTAGGAAAATTCATTTGCGGTCGAGCCTGCAAATTGGTCAGTAAGAAAATGACGTTGGCTAGCGAAAGAGAGGGAGAGAGCATGGCCACTTTTTTGGACACTGCGACCTGGAGCAGCTTAGTGGCTGATACGGGCTCCGCCTTTGTTTATTGAAACAGTTTACGCAGTACGTTGCCTGTCCCTGGAGTGCTCTGGTGCCCAGTGGGCTGCGCAGCCCTGGGATACAGTGACCCTGCCGTGATTATAGCAGACTTCTGAAGTGCAGTGACAGTAAGAGCAATTTGATGTTTTGCCATTGTCTAATTGCAAGTCCACTTAAGGTCTGAGTAAACCTCCACATAAGGGCTTTTGCAGCTGTGGCTTTCTCCGGGCTGTGGGCTGCTGCTGGAGAAACCCCACGCTTGTTTATTGATGCTTGCAAGGTTTCAAAGACACTTGAGCGATTGCACTTCTCGGTCTGCGTGGGAGGAGGGACGGCCTGTCCAGGCAGCGTGTTAGGATGGGGACACTGCGGTTTGACAACACCGCGGGGCAGCGCTCACTGCATGCCCCCTGCGACAGGGACGTGGGCAGTTTGGGAAGGAGAGGGTGCCTCCGCTCGCCCACTGCCCAAGCCAGGGGGACGCAATGGCTGTTGGAAGGCGCCTGTCTCCGTCACGGCGCGTCTCGTGCTGAGGGAGGGTTTCTCCCCTCCTGGCTGATCACACAGGTTGGGTGTGCAGGGGAGTGAGAAGGTCCTCCCTGTCCCAAGTGGCACAGGTAGCCCGAGATGGCGGCCTGGCTCCTAAGGGGGATTTCACACCCAAAATAAGCCCTGTTCTAGCTGTGGCTCCCATTGACTTCAATGGGAAGATACAGGTTTATGAGTTTCGCTGTTCCTGGGGCACCCTGTTTGCTCTTCCCGAGGGAAAGCTGATAGACCAAGGTCTACTCAGCAGCAGGAGGCTTGGCCCCGGTCTTGGAAGCTGGCTGCACCCCTTAAGCGAAAGATATTCCAGTGCTGGTCATTAGTGAGTCGTCGTCATTGACCCAAAAGCAACAGACGAGTGGGGGGAAAGGCAGAAATTATGCAAGTATGTACTATAGAAAAATGACATGTCAAGGGGGAAAAAAACACCCTCCTGGAAAAACAGTGCAAGACACCACAGTGCTCCTCTTCCTGGCTTTCCCACAGCCGCTGTGGAAACACAAGGACATACAGCAGAAGAGTAATCAAGCGACTCTTGGTACGTTGTGAAACCTCTGCTCCTTTCAACAGGCAGAGCAGCTTGCGCAGACTAAGAGACTTCCATTAACCTGTGCAAAACGGCAAGAGCTTTTGGAAAAAGCTAATGGCATTGCTGCTGACAGGCGATTTTTTAATGGATTTATTTGTTTGACTCACAATGGCTGTAACACATTTCTGAAAGGAGCCAAGTTTAGATACGGTTAGTGTCAGCCAAGGGCCTGTGGGACCCTTGCTTATTTCTCTTTGAGATGTTCCAAAGCATAAGCTGACAACAGCACTCCTGATTTGTTCCTATAAAAAATCAATCAAATTAAATACGCTTTCATTCCCTTTCCCAGCTGTCACTGTGATCAGGAAGTCTCTGTGTAACAGAAACCATGACCCCATAGCTATGGTGATGCAGGCAAGCCCCGTGAATGTATATCTTTATGCTGACTGCATTTATGTATTTTAGTCCTTCCTCCCACCATGTTTGTCTTAAAAGCTCCTAAGCTTATGAGCGTGTGAGTGGTATCACCAGTTTAGTATCAATATAATGCCTAGCATATTAGGGCCCCGCTTGCTTGCTCTGAAGAGCGACTGTTACTCCAGTAGTGCGTATCATTGCCCAGGGAAGTGCTTAGCACACCGGGTAAGCTGCCAAAGGACGGAGCCTCCTTCAGCCCTGCTGTGGGAAGACGAGGAGGAGGAGAATGTGGTGGACACCTCTGTGTTTCCACTCTCAGAGCACCACACTCAGCAGACCTGCCAGCATGGCATGTTGTCTGCTAGGACGGGATCAGGACCCTCCGGTGCCCGGTGGGCTGGGCAGAGCTTCAGGCTCTCTGTAGGTAGAGGCTGTGTGCTCCGGGGAGTTCACAAAGCACCACTCTCTATTCGGTAGCTTATCTTCTGCCTACTCATGTGGCCTTCTCGGGGAATAAGCAGCTTTTTTATGGGCTCCCACCCACGGAGGCTAAGTGAAGATGCTGCCATAACCCAATGGGAGACACACAGTGCTATTTCAAGTCCATTTTCATCAGCACTTTTAAGCTCATTGGGAAGGGTTTCTTCTCTGCTCACATTCTCCGTGACTGACAGTGCAGGAATTACATGGCACATAGCAGATCCTTTTCATAGAGGGACTTACTTGCTAGCACAGCTGCTGTCTCTTGCATATTTTGTTTCTCAAACAATTTCACACTGAAAGCATTCATAAAAAGTGGAAAAAAGCTCAAAGCATTTCTGAGGCGCAGGAAGAGCAAACGTTAGGCCCATCATTAGGTCCCCAGCTCTGCAAACAGCAGGGTTTCCTCCCCTTCTGATGGGAATCGCGGGACGTCAGGAGCTTGGCTGGTTGGACCCTTCGCATGTTAAGCTGAATGGCCACAGAGTGAAGTTCCTGGGTCAGTGGAACATTTACAGTTTTATCTCTACCTTTTTAGAGCCTTGCAATGACAAAAAACAATCAAACCATAGTCAGCATCTGTCTCATGTTTTCCGTATTATTTCTATAATGTGTTAGGACAGATTTGCATGTGAAGAAAATATTAGCGCAGCACTGAGCTCTCGCATGCCATGCGATGACTGAAAGCCAGTGCTGAGCTAATGTTTTCTTTACATGTAAATCTGTTCTAACTCACTAGAGAAATAATGGCATCTGTGTATGATGTTAAATGTCACTTCAACTGAGATTAGTCTTCTGTAATTGTTAGAGATTATTTTTGTTTATACCAGTAGGTAAATTCGTGCAGTAAATTTGACCTGCTTTCTTCCAATGAAGCCCAGCCAAGCTTTCTAAGAAAGGTATGTTAATATTTAACAGACGGTGAAAACTAAATGTTAACATTTTCAAATCACTGAGTAACTTACAGCTTAATCCCTATTCGCAAATGTGACTTTTCAGGGAAGGTGGGCTTCTGCGCTTGCTGGGTCACTTGAAATGGCCCTTGTATGGATTTCCTCTTGCTCAGCCTTGTTGGATGTCTCCTCCTAAGGTACCTTTCTTCTCTGTTGACTCTGATGGGCTCTTGAGGACTACTAGCCCAGGGGTCTGCTTAAGACAGAGGAATCTGTTCCTAAAGTACTCAAGAATGTCTTCTATAAAATTTTTATTCTTATTACGTAAAAAGCCAGGTCGCACAGTCTGCGCAATGGCTGCAAGTAGTTCAGGAAGCTGCTCCAGTCTGAGGTCTACCAGCTTCAAAAGCAAGTGCTTCTGATTTGGCTTTTAAATCAGTGTTTAGGCAGCAAATTGTGTGATTTGCTCTGCAACAGGGATGATCACCCAGCAGTGCCTTTCAATGTGAGTTGGCCTGGGTATGTTCGGAAGCTCGGGGTCTCCAGCTGCAAGTTTCAGTCAGAGCGTAGGTGCAACGAGTGCACTCAGAATTGCTGGAAGCTTTTGGAAAACGTAGATTGTAGCTTCTTTTTTCCCAGTCACGGTGGGAGTTCACCACCACAGAGCTGCTGTCACAGCTGCGTGCCTGTGGAGATCCTCACTGCCGTAGTCAGCCGCGGGTTGCGTTGACTGCTGAGCGCCGGCATTTTCTGTCCTTAGTTTCTCGTAGATAGGCAATATCAGAGTCTGAAGACTGCTGCTAAGACCCATATTAGCCTTTTCCCTCTCACGATATTTATTTCAATGTTACCATACATTTCAGCCATGAGAAGGAAGAAGTGGGTTTTTTATAGTAAAGAACGTTCTTTTCATTAATGACATGGAAAAAGCCTAGCAGAAGGAATTCATTCTTCCTTTCAGATCTAAGATTTATTGCTAGCCAAAACACAAGGATTGCTTTTGGAAGGAGAACTAGGGGGTAAAACAACAAGTGCTTAGCACTTACAACTTCTTCTTGTAAGCAGTACAGTGTATTATCTGATCAGTGCTACACAACAGGAACTGCATTAGCATTCAGCACTGTTGCGGTTTTAAGTAATAGTAAAGCATCCCTCGTCTCCCTGAAAGACATGTATGGGCTCTGGAGTGACATACCAACGAGCGTTTTAATGAGTTTGGTTCAAAGGACAGAATCAGACTGTCTCTTCACTCTTTGCTTCGCGCATTTGATTTGCAGAGAGGTCGGCACCTGCAGTTCCCATGGCGTGGACCTCACTGAATTTATGTGAGTTTTGCTTGGGGTTTCATCCGTGGCTTTTGGGGCTTCATCCTTGGCTTTAAGTCTTGTACTTGAGGTTTTGGAAAATAGGGCTCTTGGAGTGTGTGAAGCAGAGGGGTGGTCTCAGCCTGCAGTCTTCACTGTCACAAAACTCCCTTCAAGCTGAATGCTTTGGGCTTTGCCTGAATGAAGACCAATATATCAACACCAGGAACAACCAGTGCAACATCTTGGTAGGACGGCTGTGGAGCAGGCCCGACCCTCTTCTCCCCCCGACCGCGTTTGCAGAAGGGGCCGACAGAAAGCTCACGGCAGCGAGTGGAAGTTAGCAGAGGGCTAAACAGCGGCAGCACCTACCTTCAGCATCACCTCCTCCTCCTCCCCCTTCGCTTCCTGTCCCTTTGCCCTTGCTTGGGCAATTCGTCTGCAGCAAGATAGAATCAAAGAACCCTCTTCCTTTGCTAAACAATTCGCTCCTTTTGTTAGGGTCAGATAAAATGCTGATAAAAGCAGTTGTAGCTCCGCTGAAGCCAGCAGGAGCATGCTGCAGATTTGGTCCTTGATCGTTTTTCGCTTTGCTCTCCCCTGCATGTATCCAGTTACACCTTGTGGTAAATCCAACGTTAAACTGAATTAATGAAGCAGAGATGTGGTCCCCACAGGGTTTTGCTCGT